GCAGCACAGCCCCAGGCTGCCTGCCTGGCTCCTTGAGGCAATATCAAGGCATGGAGCTGGGTGGCTGCTCTGGGCACAAAGTGGGCAAAACAGCCCTGAAGCATCTAAAGCATCCTCACCAGGCCAGAGGACCCTGGAATTACTGCAGGGAATTTCTGTCATAACCCACACACCCTTTGGGTTTTCCCTCAGCTCTTGGTTTTGGTGTCAGGCACAAGGAGACTGGCCATGGTCCTCATCACGGCTGGTCTGGGGGCTGCCATTCCTGCTGGACACCCCTCAGCCCTTCTGGCAATTACTGTTCACGTGTGCAACCAAACAGCTTCTAGTCCATACCCCGTGCTGCGTGACATAATCCTGTATCAGTTACTGCTTATTTCCTTCTTTTTGTCCCTTCTAGCCTCAATCCAACCCATACAAATTTTTCACCTCCTACATCAAATGCATTGCGACCTGCTTCCTCCAGCCACAGACACCGACTGGGGAAAACTTGGCACCGAGAGCCCGCTGCAGTAAGGTGATTTTTCTGCTGTTGTTTTAAGCAGTTTTAAGCTGTTGATTTATTTAAGGCTCTACATCTTCCCAGCATCACCAAACATCTGATGATTTTATTTCGATTGCCTGGTTATTCATGGCCAGCCTGCTTTTCCACTCACCCAAGCCTACATCAGTTATGAAAAAAATGAAATGGTGGATGTTTATTTTATCTCTTTTCCCCAGAGAAGGAGTTTAATAATTTAGCAGCAGATATGAAACTGCTCCAGTGAGGAGTAATTTGTTTTAGGGGGGAAAAAATGAGATGATTTTTTTCTCCCTCTCCCAGATCCCCATATATAAAGGTATGGTTTGCTTTGGATCATATTCACTCTCTGAAGACTTGGTTTTGCTATTAAAATCTTTATTTCACTACAGATTATTCTACCATTCCTTTGTCTCTCTGCTATTAGTCTGCTTTTGGTATGCAGCTGTCACCATGGCTTTTAGTAACCTGCTTTCTATTGGTTCCCAGAAATGGTTTATATCCCCTTAGAACAAGCCAATAAAGGATTTCAGGTGCTTTCTAACCTGCCAAATGCAGCTCATCAAGAAACGCATGGAGAGGAAGGCCAGGAAGCAACAGATTTGTCACAATTGTTATTTACCAACCCTGGATTTTGAGTTTATTGCTTGCTTGGTCTCTTCAAGAACATTTTTCCCTAGTGAAATAGCATCTTTATGCATATAGTGGCCAACACAGGGATGGACAAATGCGGAATCACCAAGAGAAAGCTACCTGTGCATCCCCATGCAAGCAGAAAATGAGCACTGCAGTCCTTTTTTACAGTGATTTCAAGAGCGGGGTTCAATAAACTGCATTTCTAGACTGGGGACTTTCAAAGACCCTTATACATACTTCCCAGAAATTTTAGAGGTTTAATGGCCTCTGAAATCACCAAGATCTTCCAAAGATCTATTCTCAGAAGACCTGTAAGAGCTCGGTATCTTGCCAGCCTTGGCGTCTCTGTCAAACGGGGCTGAAGTTGACTGAATTATTGCAGGAGAGGCAGACAGGCAGGCGTATTCACAGCCGCCGCACAAGCCTCCTTTCACTACCCAGGTACAAAAAAACCACAACCCCGTAAGGCCGTGCTCCGCTCTGCCCCACCATCCCCAGCGCCAGCATCGCCCAGCCCCAACCTGGGGGTCCCTGGTGTCCCCAGACGTGGGACCCTCGCCGAGGGCTCCCCACCACCACGGGTCCCCATGCACAGCTCACATCCTCCTGGTGGGAAAAGTGGGATTAAACACAGAGCAGGTTCTGCAACTGCTGACTCCTAAACAGCACTGCTTTTGGCAAAGCTGTTTCGCATTCTGACCAAATGGAAACTCTCCTTTATAGCAGAGGGTTGGATTTTTATTTTTTTTTAATTTGCTTTTTTTTTTTTTTAATAGTTCTTGTGGGTTCCCCCCCTCAGTCACTTTTTAATGTGCACCACATAATAATATGAAGCTAAGGACACTGTTCTGATAATTCCTTGAGCAGCCCTAGTGAAACACTATCCAGATGTGTTGCTGTTTTTCTGCAGGGGAATGCATTGTGCATGTCAAAAAAAAAAAAAAAAAAAAAAAAAAGGCAATTTTCCTTTCCTCTTGGCCTTCAATTTTAAACGAAGTGAGGTAGGCCACCATTTTGGGGCTAGAAGATGAAAACCAGCACACCCAAGCCTTCCAATAACCTAATGAGGAAGGATCCAGAAGAGTTCATTTGAGGAAGGAAAAGCAAGAGAGGGAGAAAGAGAAGGAAAAAAAAATCCAGGCTTAGGAATCAGGAGCAGAAATACGAGCCTTGTTCCTTGTAAGCTTGGATAATCTAAGTCAAAAACCACATGAATCAATTCAAGCTGAGTCCAGACTGCTGTTCCGTACACACATGTACTCACACACACACACACACACATGCACACAGAGCATTTGCTGTGTTTTATAACATTTTAGTGGCTGCTGCTTTGCTGGGAACTGTTGGGAAACACATTTGCTCTGTTCCCACTCACGAGGAGGCTGAAAATGTTTTGATTTTATAATAATTGGACTTTCACACCCTGAGTGTTTTCAAAGCACTGCACGAGCATTATCTAATAATCCTCAAGGCAGCTCATTGAGGTAGGTAAAAGTCAGCATCATTATCCTCGTTTTTACAAACTGGGGCGAAACCAAGACAGGGGTGATATATGCGTTGCCCAAGGCCACACAACACGTCGATGGCAGAGATGGGATTAGTGCTAAGGAGCTGCTGGCTCCCGGCCCGGGATCAGGGCTCCGTCCACTGGCCCAGGTTTCCCCGGGGATGGAAATGCATTTCTGCGTGAGCAAAAGAGGGGAGGAAGGGAGGAGGACAAGATGTGCAGAAAACATGCGCCGTAATGAGTAATGCAGGGGTATTTTTAGCACCAAAAGGATGGGCTCAGAGCTCTCAGTGGCATTTCAGATGTCCTGTACTGCATGCAGAGCTGATGCTGGTGCTCAGATGGAGGGAAGGAGCTTTTTCAAGGCAGGGCTGGTTAAGTTTGTTGGTTCCTTCCTGATTGACCTCCGCACAAACGGAGCTGAGCTCAGGGAGGGGGAGCAGCAGGTCTGTGCGAACGGGCTCCTCGGACAGAGATGGATGAGGGAGCGCTGACCCGGGCGGCTCTGCTGGCAGGGCAGCAGTGACAAGCAGCTGGTGGCTGAAACAGCCTCCCCCGAAACAGCTGGATCTGAGGGAGGACATCTGGATGCACTCTGGGTGGTTTGCTAGAAACAATGTCCAGCGGGTCACAGCAGACCTAGGTTTTTGGGATGCCAAACACGAGGCGTCCCGTGCTAGTTATGGGAGCGGGGCTGCTGGAGCACCGGTGCCTGGACGGGGCCTCTGGCAGCACTGGGATGGGGGGGAAAGAATAACCACAACAGGGGCTGTTTGCCCCCCCCAGCCTGCCCCAGTGTCCGGGGACTGTGTTGGATCAGTGCAAACCACCAAAATCCGACAGAGCTGCAGGCACGCTCAGAGACTGCAGCACATGAATGCACTAGGGCCAAAGAGCCAAACAACAGTGCAACAGGTGGAGGAAACTTAAACCTCTCCAAACCCTTCCTGAGGCTGCCAGGACGGGCTCGGCTAAACCACCAAAGACTTCTGAAGCTCCAAGAGGGCTTTTTTCCCATGCAGAGGTGGGTCTGCCAAGCCCACATCCCACTGGTGGCCGCAGCAGTGCCCTGAGCCTTTCAGGTGATGGACCCTGCAGCAAAGCACCTGAGGGACCCACTCATTGCAGGTTTCCAGCCAATTTCTCTGGATTTCAGCAGCAGATGAAGATGAAGCTGAGCACTGGCCTTGAAACTCAGCCAGACTCGCCTGGTCCATGGAGCAGACCTCTTTGAGAGGTGATGAGGGGATTCGGCAGGGAATTTCCCCCACAGCCCTCATCACAGGCTTCCTGGGTTCCCATAAAAATCCCAAAGTCTCATCCTGACTGCTCCCTCACTGCTGTAGTCTGATGGACATAGCTTATTGGTTTAAATTATTAAATTATAAATAGTGATTGTTTGGACAGTTATGAGGCCGTGGATGAGTGCGATCCCACTTGTGCTACATCCCACGCTGTACCACGTGGATACAGCCCTGGCTGATGAGGGTGTTATTCCCTTCTCTCAGCAAGGCCTATATATATCTTTAGCTCTGCATTTTCACCCTTTGTCTTAAAAAAATCATCTACAAATGTTCATTTCTCTGAGGCTCACATCCTTAATTTTACAGCATGAGGTGACGTGAGAACCTGTCTCGTTGCAGTTGCTTGCTGGGCGACTCTGCCAAGCAGTGCTTCAGCCACTTCTGCTGGGACCCTCTGCCTCCAGACTTTCTGCCTGACTTCCCTGAGCAATGTCACAGCACAGCATTTGTGAAAAATCTGTAATATCAGACACCAGGAAATCCACTTAGTGACAGCCTCTCTGGATGCTTCATCAGGGAGGAAGGTTAAGTCAGAGCTTGCACCTCCTTAGACATCAAAATCTCATAAAAGCAAGGAAACACCATAAGAAACCAAGTCTTACTAGTTCTTGTGTTGTTTCCTACAAGATCGTAGAAAATGCCCTTGAGGGGTCCTCCACACCAGCAGGAGCACTGGTTACAGGATTAAGTCCAGCTCTGTTTCCTTCAGAATGTTGCTTTTTTCAAAGCAGTTACATGGTTGGCATCCAACCACAGAGTTTGCTCAGTGTGATACCAAAAGTTCCCTGTTCTGAGGGGCCTTGCACCCTGGATCCCAGGTGACAGCGTGAAGGTAACATTTTGCCAGCCAGTTTCCAGCCTCACGAGGCGTGTCTGTATTTCTGAAGTCAAACAGGGCCAGATCCGCTGCCTTCTCCAAACCTAGCATCAGAGCCCACCCTTGGGGCAGGCATTTATTAACCAGGTTATTAATTTGTAAGCCATCAATGTGATTGCAAAGCCTGCGCTCACCCATTACCCTGCGGTGTCTGGACCTGTGGCTGCAGCACTTTGCAGCTCCTGAGAGTTGGAGCCCCTTCTCCAGCTTTGGCTACAAGTTCATCTCAGTTCATAACAGTTGTGTTTTTACCTTTGTTCTGCTTCCCTACGCATAAGCCCGTGGCCTAGAGGGAGAAATGCTGCTTGAATGTGCAGGAAACCTGGGCTAGATTCCCGTTCTCTTGCTCCTTCAACTACTTTAAAAGGAAAAGGAGTGGGGTTTTCCAGCCACATGCGTGTCACATTCATGCATTTCGTTAAGGCAGCATCGCGGGGAACTCACTCTCCAAGCCTCATTACCTTTTGTCTCCAGTTCCAGGAACGGAGCAGACGGTTGCCAGACCGTGGTATGCAACGTTTACCCCTTGAAAATCTTTAAAGAATTTAAACTTTGCACAGACGTTTTAAGCAGACCCAGCTGCCAATTCCACATGAGACAGTCTTAAGATAAATGGATGTTTGTAATCACCCCGGCGCTGGCGAGGGAAATGCACCGCCATTCAGGTAAGCAGCTTATTCAATTTACCACTGCGTGGGGCTGCCCTGGGTGATTGCACTGCAGGGCTCACCCACGTCTGTCCACACGTTCTCACAGTGCCACTTCTCCCGCGCTCAACGCTGCAATTAGCTTGATTTATATTAAACATTGTTACCGCTCCCTTTTCCTACGCTCCCATCTTCGGGAAGCCTGGAGAGTTTTGACAGGGGCAAACCATAACTAACAGGAGCAGAAAACAGTCCAGCGGCCGGGGAGCCGGCCTCTGCTGCTCGTGATGCCACAGACCATTTCGGGAGGAGCAGATTGCCTAAAAAATGAGAGCTGGTTTGGCTCGTGGAGAGGCGCAGCGGGTACCTGGCCATGCGGCCGGCTCCTGCAGAGGGAAGGGGCGACCTCTCCATGGGCGCTCACCCCGCTCACCGCAGAGCCCTTGGAGCAAGGCTCCACACAGGGAGAAATCACCTGGCTTGGGGATTTCACAGCAAACCCATCTCGCGGGCGAAAAGTTTGCCACGTGGGGCGAAGCTTTCTGAAGTGGGATCTGGTGCTGGGCAGAGGGCCAGCCCCGACCTGCAGGAGCCCTGGGGGCTCGCTTCGCCCTCGCCTGGCACCCCGGGCACCGAGCCCACGCTGCCGCTGCGCTTTGATACGGCCTCATGCCCCGGCGAGCGGCACACGGGGGGCATCAAACAAATCCCCCCAGCCCACAGCCCTGCCCGGGTCTGCGTGGGATGCAGGGAGCCCACCTGGGAGGCTCTGTGTTGCTCAGAGCCAGCGTGGAGGTTTGGGGAGGTTTTCCAAGCAGCCAACGAGGTCCGCTCGCTGCCGTGGGCACTGCTGCGGGCAGGCAGGGTGTCTGCAGAAAGCTGGGGCAGCTGAGCAGGCAAAGTGAGTCTGGTTAAATGAATTTAAATAAAGACTTCTGGAAGAGGGGCTGCCACCTTCAGCCGACTGTGTCCTGACCTCACTTAACCACACGTGGTCCTCTCCGAGCTGACATCTTGTGGCACCTCTCCCATACATGCTTGTGCTTAGCTGAGCTGACTAATGCAAATTCACTGCAGCCAGACAAGCAAGCGATGAGGAAAGTGTCCCGAGTGTTCACACCAGCGATGGCTGAGGGATGCAGAAGCCACGAATCCTGTGCAGGGACCTCGCACTAACCATGGACACGCTTCGGAGGGTGGCACTGACCCCGGTGGACAGCGCAGCCAGCCCGCGAGGCTCGGGTCACTCTTCTTGCCCTAAGCCACACTGGATCAGCTGATTTCATTTCTAATTTCCTCACACATGTGCTCAAGCACAGCTGTGGAACATGAGCCGAGTCTGCAGAGGAAATCCTGAGATTTACACAGGCCCCAGTGGATTATAAAAAACCTGGAAACCGGACAGATAACACTCATGTAACAGACTCGAAACATGCTGAGGAGAAAAAAAAAATCACAATAGATTAAAACCTGCTGTTCTCTGCAAAATGTAAAAGTGTCTTTTCCAACACTTTGAACTACTGTGTTAAAACTTTGTAGGTAGCTATCGTTTCAAAGGTGCAATCTTCAGGAGGAGTTTTCTTTTCTTTCTTTCTTTTTTTTTTTTTTTTTTAATGGTTTTGGTGAAGTCGCAATAAAAGAGTTCTTAAAAGGGCTTGACCCAGAGGGCTGCAAGCTTTTTGCCTGGTGAGGTTCATTTCTAAACCGTGTGCAGCTTTCAAAGCTTCTGAGAACTTCCAAAACCTGACCTGGCTGATGTTGAATGCACAAGGTGGTGGGAAGTAAGAAGTAAACATCTCTTGTTGGGAGATGCTACGCTTTTAATCCCAGTGGAACCAGTTGGATGCTACATAAGCTCCCAACAGGGGACAGATAAATCTGTTTGCTCAGCTTCTCGCTGCCTACAGAAAACGCAGACATTGCACCTGAGGGTTTGGCTTAACTGCAGCCTGGGAGAGGACCCAGCTAGGAGAGATTTCTTTCATAGGCTGGATGCTCAGCTGGTTTCACAGCACAAATTCACCATGGTGGCTGTATCAGACAGCACCATTATCTGTATCTCGTGTTTTTGTAGCCACTTGTGTACCAAAATGCTTTTCTTTTCAACTGCAAAGCATTTCTGGCCATAGCCACCATTTTCTTTGTGAAATGGCTTTGTCCTGATTCCTGCTTTCATCTATTCTCTGCCCATTCTCTGTGTTTGCTCTTACATCTTTTTAACAACTTAAGCTAACAATTGATTTGGAAGGGATGGCCACTGCCCTGGACAGACATGTTCATGTTCTCCATATAATTAGTGTGTGAAGGACGTTTTCCACACACTTTCCAGTTGGCCACAGGCTCAGAGCTGCCATTTTTGTGTTCACCGAGGTCTACAGCTGCCTCAGCGCTGAACTCAGTGGGACCAAGATCAGGCACAAGGTCAGACAGTTTTTTCTTACGCTGTCAAACGTGATTTATTGCTTTTCTCAGGATCAATGACTTAAGAATTTGGGTTGCCAAGCTGTGCTGGGTCACATCCACCCAGGGTGGTTAACAGGGCCAGAACCAATTCTTGCGAGGCCCCTTCTTCCCCCAGGATTTTGTGTGAATCTGGGTTCCGTTTTATCTCAGGCATCAAAAGAATTTTGAGGAGGGGTCAGATAAAAGTTTGGGGGGTTTCCCCCCTCATTTCTATGAAGGGCAAACCAAGATGGTTTGGGGTTTGTGAAAGCAAAACCAGGTTGACTTGGATCTCAGATCTATTTTATCTCAGTCACCAATCTTTCATTTGAATTTGGGGTTTCCAAACCAAAACCCAGCTAAGACTTTGTGTAAAAAAAAAAAATAAAAAAAAAATCAAACCTGAAATCCAGCCTCCTCCACACATTCCAGGCGGTTGCTGAGAATAATTCTCCTCCGAGTTCATTTTAATCAAACTGCGACAAGAAGAAACCTCAGCTGACATCCACCTCCCCCAAGAAGGAGCAAATCCGGTCCCGAGAGGGGCAGAAAGAAGAACAGAGAAAGGCAGGCAAGACCTGACTTGGTCTCCGCGCTACCAACATGCTTCACACTGGAGCTATTTACATGCAAAGCAAGGACTCCAGGCATCTCATGACCTTTAGCATGGCTTGAGACACTGTGAAATGATGTTGCAAGTATCATATGGCAAGACAGAAGAAACCCTGCTGAGATTCGCCTGGAGTGCAGAAGCGATTGGGGTAGCAAAGAGGCAAGAGCAGCTTGAGCCTTGGTGTTTTACAAGAGGAGAGGGAAGGTGTAAAGGTGCGTTGCCTTGACCGATGACTGCCTGAAGGATGTGGTAATGTTGTCCTCAAAAAAGGAGCCACATCTAGCACAGGTGGGGTTAATATTTCAGGATGCACAAGCCTGGGATGAGTAGGAGATGGAGCAGTGCAGAATGCTCAGTTTTAAGAGATAGGCTTGAAGCATTTGTGTTTTGAGCCCTTCTCTTAATATCCAGAAAGAATCAAGGCTTGGCAGATGGTCAGTGACAAAGAGGAGGAAATCACTCTCCGCAGGTCATTTTTTCCGCCAGTAATGTGATCCCGCAACAACAACTACAAAAAAGTAGTTTCCATCCTCTCCCCCAGGAATCTATGTCTCCCCTATTGGAGTCAACTCTTTAAAAGAATTGCTTTCCATTTTAGAAATGGATTTCCTCAACTCTGAATTTCTATGCGAGTCCCTTCAATCATGATTTCCAAGGTATCTCTTCTGCTCTAGGCGTCAGCTATTGTCCCCAAGGGTTTTGTGACATAAACTGTGGCTTTTGACCGAGAATCAAAGCTTCCTGGGGTGAGAGCTGTGTGTTTTCTTTTGCATTTTGCTATTCTCCAACTTCAGTAAGTAATGAGTAACCAAATGTAAAACTGCCCGTTCTACGCAGCTCGAACACGTTCACATAAATCATCCTTTTTTGGTACACTCTATAGCGTTTATTTATTGTGTTTTGCATGCCAAGTGGAATGGGAAAGTAGAATTAGTCAGAATCTGCAGTGCCGTCTTTATTATTTAGCTCAGCCTTTCAAAATTATACTACGGATAATCCACAGAGCAGAGATCCTGCGATGGTCCAGAGAGCAGAGTCAATGTATGGCGAGCTCCCTCGTGTCCTGACTCACTTCCCAGCGAAGGGCCGTGCACGCCATGCCTTTAATTGCTTCTTACAGACCCGGGCTGCCACGGCCAGCCCTCGTGCTGGCACTAACACACACGTACCCCCATGCAGACACCCGCCTGGCCATGTTCCCCGTGATGTCTGCTCTATGCACACTCTGCAGTTGACAACACTGCAGGCAGGCCCACAGAAAACACTCTTTTGCAGGCAGAAACCCCCAAATTTGGCACAAAGGTGTGTGCTTATTGCCCTATCTGGCACAGCGGGTACATCCCCAGGCGAACGCAGCCACCCTCAGCGCTGCAGGCTCCAAAACGCGTTGGAGGCGCTGCACTTTCACATCCATCCGAGGAGGATCGTAACGCGCTGTAACAACACGCCGCGAAGCCAAGGGCCCAGACTTCGGGATTTTATTGGACTGTTAACTTGGACAACGAAATTCTTCAGGGAGGATATTTCTCGAGACAGACAGTTTCGTCAAGCGGTTTTTTCCATCTGACCCTGGGCCCCGAAAGTAATGACAGCCTGAACACAGAGACGCTGTTTGCTGATTGGTACCACGATCCCGCGAAGGGGAACCATGAGCCTGGCGAATTCTCCTGTTTAATTAGGTGAGAAAAGCCAACGGAGCCGCGTGGCTCTCGCAGGGGAACCGTAGCCGGGCTGTTCCACGGACAACTCCTTCCCACCCTGCAGCAGCGCTGCAGACCTCGCCCTGTACAATCGCCCTTAGAAAGCCTGGCTGTGCTCACAGAAGTCTGCCTTGCCCTGGCACGGATGGAAAATTGTGGAGAGCGTGTGTCCTGGAGGCCCTGAGAGTCAACCAGAGTCTGGCTCCATCCAGTCCTCAATAGGTTTCTCTGCTCGGGGGTCTCAGCCATCAAAATCACTCCCGGGCTGCTTTTACTCTGCATTTCAATGCTTCTTTTCTGTCTGAGAACTAGAAAGTGCTCTGTGTGCTGGTTAATTTAGTCCTGCAGTGCTGTGATGCAGCTGGGAGGATTGTGGTCAAGTACGAGACTAAGATGCTGAGTTATTCATTATTTTAGGGTTCCCAAAGATCTGAAATCCTATTTAAATTACAAAATTAAGGTGCCATGGGCTGTGTTCCCCAGACAAAGTGGCACAGTGCCGTGCACCATCACCTCCAGAGAAGCTGGCATTACCTGCGGTAACAGGAGAAAACATTTTCCCTGGTGTTTATTATAGAGAATTCCTGGTTAAAGCGACCTGCACATGGCCTTTCTGGGGAATTCCACTGTGCCCTCGTGTTTGTCTCACCAAGCCTGAGGTACATGAGGGCCCGCTCAGCCAGCAGCAGGAGTCCTGGACAGAGAGCTCCTCATCTCCAACCAAAGCACAAGCTGGGGGGATACAAGGCAAACCAAAGGGATTTTTCCAAGGCTGCTTTTGCCAAGCCACTGGCACAGCCAGAAAGGGGTCTGGCTCCTTGAGCCATAGCCCCAGAACCACTGTGGGTTCATGCAGCACCAACGTAACACCCTTCTAGCCAGAATGCTCATTAGCTGTGGTTTTGCAAGAAGAGAGAGTAGGGAAAGGAGAGAAAACAAGTCACTGCCACCAGATGGTCTAAGCTCATGCAAGGATTGACTATCCGCAAGACATCTGCTGATGAGCGCTGGCATTTATCTTCAGCTCAGCTCCTCAAATCTTGTAAAGTTTCAGGTCCTAAACTGCACAGGTCTTCATGAAAACTCATCCATGCTCTCTACCAAGTGGCCTCTTGACAGGCAGTTATACTGACAATAATGAAATACAGGCAAGGTGTCACGATTTTTTCTTAAAAATAAGCTATTTATTCTTAAGATCAGCCACCCCCAGCTCCCCACACAGCAATACATGGTTGCGGGAGTTAACCTTCCACATGTTTCAGTTGTTTCGGTTCAAGTTTTAAGTGGCTTCCGCTGCACCAGTGGGGAGAAAGAGCAAGCCAGCAACAAAATGTGAGCAACCTCATAAATCTGTAGAAACTGGAACCTGGGAGGATTTTACATGGCTGAATGCAAAACAATGCAGTGCGTGCAGTAATTGAAACATCGCAATGCAATTAGACAAGCAGGATATTCGGTAGGAGCTTCAAAGTTATGTCTGAGAGCGTCTCCACGGCACGTAACAGTGGCATGCTGCACTGTGTAGTTTTGGTGTAATCCAGCTAACCTGAGGATAGGAGTAAAGCCAGCTGCATCGCTCTGGCATCTGCCTGAGGCTGCTTACCTTGCTATCACAGCTGAACAGCTGCTGCTGCTGGAGCAAATACGGTTATTACCACTACCATTAACAGCAGCAGTGGCCTAATTCTTATGCAAACATACATTATGCTTCATAAGCCAATACTGCCCCAAGAATATATA